CCCTAAACCCTAAGCCCTAAACCCTAGTTTCCTCTAGTTAAACTTAAAAGGGTTTTCGATGTATACATAGAAACCACCAAGCAACACAAACCCTCAACTAAACCCTAAACCCTAAACCCTAAACCCTAAACCCTAAACCCTCGCGTACCGTCGTATGCAACATGATACCCAGTGGGGTTTGCCTGTTGCTGGAGGGCCCCCCAGGGGCCCCCCGCTGCTGATGAACCCTGGGGGCCCCCCCAAACCCCTAAACCCTTGGGGGGCCCCTTGGGGGCCCCCGAAATACTGAGAGGGTTTGCGTGGTGAGGTGTAGCGGTTAGAGGGGTTCGGGTGTCTGCGCACCTACCCAGCTCCATCGTAAACCCTAAACCCTAAACCCTAAACCCTAAACCCTAATTTTTTTTTTTGAGCCCTATACTACATATGCAGAAAGAGAGCGAGAGAGTACTGACACCGAAGAAAGAAACCCTAGAAAAATACCCCGCACAAAACCCTAAACCCTAAACCCTAAACCCTAAACCCTAAACCCTCAACCTTCGGCTCTTAATATACATGTATAAATGTAATAGAATATAAGTTTATAAAGAAAAAGAAAAAGAAAAAGAAAAAACAACATGCTCACATATACATAGCTGAGGTGTATATACACTGCACGGGTTGGGGGGCCCCCCTGCTGCTGCTGGGGGGCCCCCCAAGGGTTTGTTTGTTTTTTGTTTTTGTTTTTATTATATATTTTTTATATTTTGTTTTATTTATTTTAATTTATTTATTTTATAATAAACCCTAGAAAGAAAAACATATATGATAAACAACAAACCCTAAACCACCACAACAGAAGCCATAGAAGGCTGCAGGTGATCGAGGGTTTAGGGTTTAGGGTTTAGGGTTTAGGGTTTAGGGTTTAGAGTCCAGTATAGAGGGTTTAGAAAATAGAGGGTTTAGGGTTTCAATACAAACACCAAACCCTAAACCCTAAACCCTAAACCCTAAACTTTTTAATAAAAACACCGAGCTGATCCGCCCGACGAACACTAAACCCTAAACCCTAAACCCTAAACCCTAGAGCCAGGGAGAGGGATAGAGGCGAGCGTTAAACCCCCAAAACAAAACCCCAAACCCTAAACCCTAAACCCTAAACCCTAAACCCTCATTCGTCTCCTCTCTGTAGCAGCCTTCGCGAGCGGACCTTCTTCACTCCCGATTGCTTCTGCAGCCACACAAACCCTAAACCCTAAACCCTAAACCCTAAACCCTAAACCCTATCCCCCAGCCATCCCCTTGAACCTTATGCACTAAACCCTAAACCCTAAACCCTAAACCCTAAACCCTTACTGGTGTTTCTATTATAACTTTTTTGCTTTTTTTACACGCCAGGGGGTTTACGCCTTTCTTTCTCCTACAGAAAAAAAAATAAATAAATAAAATAAATAAAATAAATAAATAAAATAAATAAAATAAATAAAATAAACAAAATAAATACATAAAATAAAATATATCATCTGCTGATGTCAGTGGTATGAAGCAGCGGCTGCTGCTGCAGCAACTGCAGCACATATTATTAAACCAAAGCAGCAGCAGCAGCAGCAGCAGCAGCAGCAGCAGCAGCAGCAGCAGCAGCAGAAGCAGCAGCAACAGCAGCATTGCAAGTAATAATAGTACTAACACCAGCAGCAGCAGCAGCAGCAAGAGCAACAGCAGCAGCAGCAACAACAGCAGCAGGAGCAGCAGCAGCAACAGCAGCAGCAACAGTAGCGGCAGCAGCAACAACAGCAGCAGCAACAGCAACAGCAGCAACAGGAGCAGCAGCAGCAGCAGCAGCAGCAGCAGCAGTATCTGACTTTTTTCTTTTGTTAGCTTTTTCTTTTTGCTGCTGCAGCTGTAACTCTTCTTGCTGCTGCTGCTGCAGCAGCAGATTGAATCGTTCTCCCTGCTGCTGCATCGACAGTAGTTTAATACTTCTATCAGCAGCTAGTTTTTTTTTTTCTGCTGCTGCAGCAGCAGCAGCAGCAGCACCTGTTGTCCTGCTGCGCTGCTGCTGCTCAGCCCGCAGCAAAGACAGCTTCGTCGGGGCCTCCACTTGCAGCACCCCATTAAACAAAAACAGCAGAGGCAAACCAGGAACACGTCTGCAGCAGCAGCAGCAGCAGCAGCAGCAGCAACAGCAGCAGCAGCAGCAGCAGCAGGAGCAGCAGCAGGAGCAGGGGAGGAACAGTAATAGGAGTTGCAGTGGTAGGAGATGCAGCAGCAGCAGCAACAGCAACAGGAGCAGCAGTAAGAGTAGCAGCACGATAGAAGCAGCAGCAGCAGCAGCAGCAGCAGCAGCAGCACCAACAGCAGTGCCGACAGCAACAGCAGCAGCAGCAGCAGTACCAGTAGTAGTAGCAGCAATAGCAACAGCAACTGCAGCAGCAGCAGCAACAGCAACTGCAGCAGCAGCAGTGGTAGTAGCAGCAGCACCAGCAGTAACAATAGCAGCAGCAGTAGAAGCAACAGCAGCAGCAACAGCAATAGAGGCAGCAGCAATAGAAGCAGCAGCAGCAGCAGCAGCAGCAACCCAGCAGCAGCAACAGCAACAACAGCAGCAGGAGCACGAACAACACTAATAACACAACCACCACCACCACCACCACCACCACCAACAGCAGCAGCAGCAGCAGCACCAACAGCAGCAGCAACAGCAGCAGCAGCAGCAGCAGCAGCAGCAGCAGCAGCAGCACCTGAGCCTTTCTCTGAGTCTTTTATCCTGTGTAGCAACACACAGCCTTCTCTCTTCTTGTTTGTTTGTTAGGCGAACTATGCAGCTGTAGGCATCGTCAACTGTCTCCTTTGCTGCTGCTGCTGCTGCTGCTGCTGCTGCTGCTGCTGCTGCTGTTGTTGTTGTTGTTGGTGTTGCTGTTGCTGCTGTTGCTGCTGCTGCGGAGGTTGCACCCTCCAGCTGCTTCAGCAGCAGTTGCTGCTGCTGTCCTATATGTCTTGCTGCTGCTGCTGCTGCTGCTGCAATGCTTTGCTGCTGCTGCTGCTGCTGCTGCTGCTGCTGTCTCCTACCCTCAAACTCACTAGGCAGCTCTCCCTTTATAAGAGCTGGGTGATGCAAAAACTTCTGCTTCGGCAGCAGCAGCTTCTTGCTGCTGCTGCTGCTGCTGCTGCTGCTGCTGCTGCTGCTGCTGCTGCTGCTGCTGTTGGGGG